TGAATTTATGGAAATACACTATACTGGGCCTTGTGGAGTATACACCTGCACTTGTCACAGAACTCGACTACAGCTCGGTAATTGGCTGTTGATTGCTGCCATTAACATGTGATGGCTAAGTGCGTCTAATTCCTGCTCCATTTTCCATAGTTCAATTTGATGTCACCGCCACCCACTTCTTCTGCTGATTATCCGAGGTTGTACAAGTGAAAATTGTGCTTTTTTTCTAATAATAATCACACAGTATGGGAAAGAAATAGTGGTATCGCAATTAAAGAGCGCTGGTGTAATTGACGCCTCGGCCTCTTAATGACGCACAGTAAAGACTTTTTCTTTCAAAGCTATCCACAATATTCTGGGAATCAACCGTTTTGCTCTGATATGGTGAAACTAAATCATTTGTGTCTTTTTGAGGCACAAATGATTACAGAGAATGCGCCGTATTTTCTTCGAATTCGCATCTCACTGTATTGGCACCTGCAGGCATCGAGGCATGGTATCCCTTTGAGTTTTAATCTGTCTGTCTGGGTCCTTCCGGCTATTTCATTTAAGTTTTAATATGTGTATTTCCCAGCGTCTCCGTCCCTCGCCCCTTAATTTAATTGACACGCTGCTGCCTGGTTTGTTTTGTCCTTAGCGAGCAGCATGTCCCGCCATTACACACGTGTTCCATATACATTACATTGTATTTAAAGTGTTGTGATAAAATAGGTTTGTTTAGTTCTGCACAGCCGTGGGACAAAGGACACATCTATAAGTTAAGTAAAAACGAATACTAGGTGTGTTAATTGTAAATAGCAGACTTTGTGGTTATTTCATTTGGAGAAAGCGTCGTGGCCTCGTGGTCTTTTGTCCAGTGCGTCTCGGGGAATGGTGCGTGTGCCATCTGCAGGCTGAACGCGGTACTGCGCACCTTTTATCCACTCATGAATCCACTCATGAATGAAAATGTATTAATAATAAAAATACAAATATAATAATCAGCATTTTTTACTATGTTAGAAGTTTATTTATTCACTCAATTTTTGTATACATTTGTGCTTCTAATTTTCTCTGTTTTTGTTAGATGTAAACATATAACTACACTTTACTTGCACTAGAATAAACAGTACTTTATACTTGCCTCTTATTTTGCCAAGTGTTACATTTTTACGTTTTACCTATTTTCAAGATAGAGATGTTATACTTATTATTGATGCTAGAGTTAGAGATTTTGTTTTATTTTAATTAGTATAGCTATTGTTCACTTGACGTCTGCTGTGCGCTCCTCTTTCCTACTTTTCTATAACTTGTGATGCAACACCAACATTTACCCACTGTGGGACAAATAAAGGATCTCTTAGTCTTTTTATGCTTTATGTCGTGCCCAAGTTAGTTAAATTGGAACTTGCATTATCTTTGATATGGGTTTAGCTTACTCTTTTATCTACTTTTTGTTCCTAATTTTAATGCTACTTTTTGCTTATTATCAAAGAAGTCTATAAAACAACTCAAGTGGCTTGATTTATCTTTTGAGAAAAAAAGTATGTCCAAAATGTTTAAATGCCAATTCAAATCTCGGTGAAAGTTCAAATGAGAAATAACCAAATAATTTTGCTGGTCTCACTTCAACAAAACAAAAGCCTGTGATTATCTATGATCAGTAAAGTGAACCCAGTCAGAAGATCCCATCTGATTGAGTCTCCTATCTTGCTGCTTTTGGCTCCTGCGACTAATTAACTTCACACATATCAAAATTTGAATTTAAATTAACAATTGCAAGATAACATCAGGGGACAAAAGCACCCCGCAAAGAAGTTTATGATGAAAAAAATACAAATATCAGGGCAAGCAATTGGTGAGGTAAAGAGGGCTTTCAGATGATGGGGGATATCTCCAATTACAATCCAGCGTGCACTTGTCAGCAGTAATGAAATGTTTGCAGAGAGCTTGCTGTTTGTGGCTCTCTGCGATTGGATACTGCTGCTCCACTGCCCCCAAACAACAATTATATTCTTTGCATACATTTTTCTACAATCATTTCTTTTGTATTGAGCCTTGGGTTTAGTGAAGGATCTTATTATGCATGAAGATCTGTTCCACTGCACACAATAAGCATTTAAAGCACACATGACCACACGTAAAAATTAAAAAAAAAGGCAAATGTCTCTTCATTTTATTGTTGTTTCTAAAGAATTACATAATGCATTAATCACAGTAAAGACAAACCGGCTTTCCCCGTCATGTCATAGTTGTGCAAGCTTACAATTAAAATTACATAGATGACTTTTTCTGCTCTGTTTCTTGAGCATCAATTGTACAGGGAGCAAAGTGTAAAGCTTTGGAAACCTTTTGTATTCATTCACTTGACACCATTGGCCAGAGGTTTGCATACAAATAGCTTGAAACCAACTTTCACAGTCAAATACAATTTACTTACTTAGGGTTGGGTCATATGTCAGAATAAAAGGTTATATCGGGAAACACAAATGTGATCTAGGTCCAAATATTTTCATTAGATCTCCGCAGTATGCATTTCCAATTAAAGTGACATCACATAAACCTAATTAGTATAGATGCCACTTGATTTTCCAGTGCATGGTTTTCTCATCAAATTGATTACACTCTATGAGGGATATTGCATACACATGGCACTACTGCTGCTGCTGCCATAGAGGGATATAAAATACATCTGTTTAACTGTGGACCATAAACCGTGAACGTTCAGCTTTGAAGAATAACAGTCTAGTCCTTAACTTTGCACTCAATAACTAGCTTAATTACACCGTGTTTGGTTTTAACTAGGGATGGGACAATATGAAACTTTCACAGTAGGAGAAACAGCACTACATAGTGGTATATACTGTGGGGATAAAATGGGAAGGTGGAAAGGTGAAGTTAGAAGTAGAGATGAGGAGACTTGGATCAATAAACAAAACTTGGAGAAAAAAAAAAGCAGCTTACAATACATGGACTTGGATAGGCATACTCGGATTGAAATGGACTTTCCTTTCCTTTCAAGTCATTTACATTATCTGAGACACAAAAGGCGTACACATGCTGATCAAAAATAATAACTCAAAGCAGTGAAGTGTGCTGCTTTCTCCACAGAAGTGTTCTGCTTTTTACAAATTTGCCTCTAAATGCTATAAGGAAAGTTGTAAAATACTCTGCTCCCTGTCAAATATTTAAGAAAAAACATCTCTGTGCAAAATAAATTGATATAGAAATACTATGGACGACAAAATGCTTTTATGTCCTCTTGTAGGTTATACGACTGCCCTGACATCAATGCAGTTATGCTTCAGCACAATTGAAAGTTACCAGTGAATTTTTATAAGAGGAAGCAGTCCATTTTCTCATATGCTCATAAAACCCATGACTTATGCAAACCATGAAGTCAGTTTTATGTCAAAGTGTTATATTTGTCCCTCTATTGTATATCGTGCAGTCTTGTAAATTATTATGAAAAGAGGTCAACAAAGCTAGAATACAAAAATGAGTTGGAAGATTCGAGGAGAAAATTAGTAAATGAATCATACATGCTTGGATTATAATTGAGAAGTATTATGACACTGGGATACCATAGTACACCAAATTGAAAAAAACAGAAATAAGTGCACATAACGAGTCCCTTTAATGGATGCATAAGGAGGTAGAAAACTAAAATCCAATATTTGATATATCTCAAGTAAAAGATCAGAAAATGGATTCCTAACAAGTATTTTGTTCAATAATGAAGGCTTGTGTGAATCAATAGTGAGTTATGTGACTAGAATAAGCATCACAACATTTCACCAACTTTATCTAACTAGATTCAACTGCTCTTATTATAAAAAGCTCTACAATTACAAATCACAAGACGACCCTCCACCAGTGCAATATAGAGATCCAGGACTCTGTTGTAGACCAATGTAGGGCATCGGTCAAATTGGCCACAACACTGAGGTAGGATCAGAAATAAAGATAATTTTGTTCAATCTCAGTACCACAAGTGCATTAAAGGGACTGGATCATGACAATCACAATGCAAGCTCATTTAAAAAGAGTTTCTCAAAGCTGTTCAAATATAATTAATTGGCCCATTGGAGAGTGAGGTGGGGATAATGCCTATCGGTCATTGCTGGCTTAAAAAAAATAACATAAAATAAAATAAATCCAAAAACTACCTGTACAAAGCGCCCTGCATCGAAGGCACTGAGTAAACCCTGTGTCTAATTCGCCCACCGGCCCAAATAAGAGCTTTACTGACTAAAGTGCCCAACAGCCACATCTCAAGTTCCCAATGACACTTGCATCAGGCATCATTGAATTGGCATGATATGTTTTCCTTTGTATAAATAGAATTACAGAAACAAATACACTTTTTCTATAAATACGTGGGCCCTTTTGTCCAAATTATTTTGACAGTATCGAAGTGAATGAAGTTAACAAAACGTGTAACAGCTGCCCTTCTGTATAATAGCAAGTGTTATGCATGTAGTGGTGTGAATATATTCGAGACTCGATCTCATCAGTAACCATCATGCACTGTAAATCCCTATGTCACAATGCATTTAATGAACGTTAAATCGTAATTTAATTGGAAGCCCTTCCCTCTCACTCAGGGGAAAATAAAGATCAGTGATTAAATCAAGGAAGTCTGGTCCCTTTCAATAGAATAACCTTTTGCTTTGATTTGTGTTATATTGGCAATTGTCTATATAAAATATTTCTATTACAGACTCCAAAAGTGATAAGACAAGACAAAGATAAAATGTAAAATAAAGATTTATATTTTGCCAATTATTTTCCCAAAAGCAGTTATTATACCACGGCTAAAACCTGGATTTCTCCACAAACACTTAGTAATATATTTTTATAGTCTTTCAAAGTCTCTGGCTATGTACAAAGCTATACAAATACAGAGCAGGCGGCGGGCCAGGGTTTATTAGCTGTGCAGAGGGAGCAGTTGGTTGGGAAGTCTCTCAGTCTCCCGGCTCCTTCCCCCGCAGTCTGCCCATACAGGTGGCTGTTCTGCTTCACTTGCGATCATCGATGGTCTTAATGAATTCCAGTGCTGCGGTGAACTGCATCCACCAATAGCACTCCTCCCCACTCAGCCGGCTGGCGTAGAAATTATTGATGTACTGAACGGTGGACAGCAGGCAGGGCGGGTTTGCCTGGAGGGGAGGAGACGCGGGGATGGGCCAGCATTAGCAGAACGGCACACGCACATTTCTATACACATTATGGTCTTAAACACGGACAAGGTATCTACGCTGCCGTTTATGGTGCATTAAACAATATCTACTTAAGCAATCACATGTTAGGTGAAGCGGAGAGGAAGAATACTGCTATTCTGTACTTAAAGAGCCTTCTTTATGTGTAAGAAGAAAATGTGTGCCGTCTCAGTGCAGATGTTGTAAATACAGATTTGAGTTTAAACTAGTTTACTTTTGAGCTTCAGCTATGGATTGTTTTAGTAATTGTGTAATCTATTCATTACACATTTTTACTGTTTAATATGGATTCAAGTACATAATTGAATGCATAATAAATGTATGTGTTTTATGGATAAGCATTTATAGTCAAAACAAATGAGGAGTCTCTTCATAAAATATCATTTGAATCTCAGTGCACAGTGTCGGTGCAGACATTATTATCAACTGCAACAGTTTTACATAGTTTTAAGTACTTTAAAAAAGGAATTGTTTAATAGTTTGGGGCCCAGCTCAGTTGCAGTGTTTTTATCTGATTGTTTACAGCTGTATTGTTTACAACTAGAAAAACTTCTTAGCAGCTTTGACATCACACTCTAAATCTCACTGGTTAACTGTTGTGAAAAGACTCCTCTAAATCTCTAATTTCTGTAGATTTAAATACAGTAAACTACAATTTACAATTTATTAGCACTTGTGCTATAACACTTTAAACAATGCATCTGGTTCGTCCAATGTTAATTGCTATGTCCATATTAAATAAATAAATAAATGAAATGAAAATTAAATACAATTGCAATTACTATTCCCTGCCACGAGTTACACATTTTTTGTAAAATTGCTATTAAAACTGCACACTCACCCTTATGAGTACAAAGACCAGCACAGGGACAAAGTCGTCAGCTCCAGGCACTGAGTCCTCATTGGCCAGACTGAGCAGGTTCATGATGGTGGAGCACATGCGCAGGATACACTGGACTTTATCTCGAGGAGTCTTGTAGGCATTGATGCTCCTGATCTCAGACTGAGCTGAAGGCCAGGGAGCTTCTTTTAAATAAACCTGTAAAAAAAAACAATGATCAATGTGATGAAAGTGCTTTAAGGAGTAATGAGAGTAAATAAGAAAAGGCAGTACATCTGGGATTTGAAGAGCTTTATGGTTTGCAGTGACGACTTTAGACAGCCTCTGGATGTGTTCATGGAAAAGTCTGGAACAGAATCACAGTTATTTTACTTGTGGTTGGAAAATAGTGGATAAAACTTCATATTCTTACTGGTCTCTAAGAATATCTCCATCCTGATTTGGATAAAAGGCCAGTTTAAAGATCCGGTTCATAACACTGCGCTCAATAGCCATTTGGGCGTCCTGTAGCTGGTCTTCGCTTGCATACTGCCAAATCGCGTCACGTGCCATGGCGCCATACAAATAGCGCAGAAAATCCTCCACTGACGCAGTCTTATCATCAGAAGCCGTGCACCCCAGGAAAGCTAGCAGTGAAGGATAAGATTTAGTTTTCTATGGCTGCAGGAAACTTAAAATATATATCAGAGGAAAACATGATGGGTACCCTTGATAAAGTCTAGCGTCTTGGACTCCATGTGTTCGAGGAGGAGGCGGACACAGACTGTGGTGAAGTAGCGGTTAGCAACGTCCTTGTCTCGAAGCACCCTCTGAAGCAGCCTTTCCAGATGCGCCTGTGAGGTCTGCAGACCTTGCCGACATCGGGTCAGGTAAGCTATGTATGGGGCACGTTTTCTAAGACAAAAAGACAAACATGCCATTTAACCCTCGCGGCAGAGTTAGTACTATAACAACAGACTTATTCACACACTCTGGACAACCAACCTGTAGTCCTCAGCAATAGCAGCCAGTAGCTTCCTGCATGTGCGCGCATCAAAGCGGCCGACACAACGCGTGGTCTCCTGGATCTGAGACATCTGGTCTCTGTCCTGCAGGTTTATGGCCTCCGCAAGCTGCACTTTGAGGAAGCAGACGATCTCATTGTCTGAAGTGGACAATAAGAATTAAAGACTAAGCATACCAATGAACTATTATAGTTTATAATTTACCCCTGATCTATATAATTAACACTGCTTAAGTGTGACAAATATGGCTTTGAATAAAGCGGGGAAATGGGTAGAGGGTGGCGATACAAAAAAAAAAGAAAGAAAACATGTGGGAATTCACCACCTGTCTTTTTCACGAGCTTGCATAAAACTGAGGAGTCAGAAGGTGAAGGTTTAGTGTCTCTTGCTTGGGGACAATTTAATCATTTGGGAGGTTTGCCAACATTTAAGGTTGATACCTTTGTAGTAAACTTTGCAAATAGGGGGAAAACTAAACCTGCCCAGACATGAACATTAATAAGCAAATATTGTTTCCAGCGCACCTTCAGGGTCCATATGGTCTGGGAGCCCATTCCTTGTGGTGACAGGAGCCATGATGGGCAGTGCTACTGAATCTGCAGTGCACAATGCCAACCTCAATTTCTTCTTGGCATCACTAAGATATAAAGATCAATTATATACCACATATCTTGAAAAAACAATAATTCAAATATTAGTTGTCAACCTGAAGGAGAACTTTGAGTCATGCTGCTGTGCGGTCTGACTGGCTGAATCTGGAAGGTCATCTGTGGATATATTTTGCAGTGCGTCATCTCTTGAAGACTCATGGACGTGGTCCTCGACACACAGATCTATGAATCCAGGTTATGTTGAATAATAATCCAAGTGTTTGTAAAGCACTGTGCGAGTTAAGATTTACAGACCTCCTGTTCCATCGTACGAGGCTCCTCCAGTAGCTCCATCACTTGGACTCGTCCTCTTTATGTTTCTATACTTGTCTAGGATGTCCTCAGCTGCTTGGGCCTGAGAGTTTTGTCTGGGATCATCTGAAAGTTCAATTATAGAAATATGAAAAAAAAAAATATATATATATATATATATATATATTGAAAAACGAAGTAAAAGACATCTTAAAAAGTAAAACCTTGTGGGTTGCGCTCATGTGACATGTCATCTTTTTCCTGTTTGTCTCTTTTACGAAAAGCTGCAATTGGAGCTGGAAAAGACAGTTTGAGAGAAGACGTTTATGATTCTGGAGATCAGCTAAACAACACTATTACTGAATTTCTTTTGTGACCAAAGTTTATTCAAATATAAAGGGAACAATTTCCACAGGGTCATACCAGAATATACATACAAGAGAAATTAACCCTTAACATAACATAAAAGACATCATTTGTAATCATTTTTGGAGTACAAACACAACACAATTTAGAGGGTGCCGCTGACATAGTTGTGTCTTCTACACACATCATTCACAGCAGGTCTACTGCTTTAGGATCACATCTACAAAAGGAGAACATCGATGGTGTGTGGTTTCTAAGGTAAAGCATTACCTGGGGCAACCTCCTCAGGCGACCAGTACAGCACTGTGGGGCATAACGGACAGCATTGGCCTTTCACACAGACTGCCTCTCTGCAGGACAACTGTGCACTCTTCAAAAACTCAGGAAAGCACTCGTAGATCGCAAACCTCCACCATTAGGCAAAAAATTATCCCTAATGTACAGTTATAATGCTGTATGTGTGTATATCATATTCATGTAATTCGGGACTTCAGATGGAAACTAGCTGTGTAGCTATCAATTGATGCAACATATATCCTATTTGAGCTTAGTGTTGCTGTGCACTGTCCCTTTCAAATAAAAACTAATCTAAAAAAAATCCTCTAAAACTTCCAAAATGTGATTCTTTGTTCCTTGTATTCATTTCCAAGGTTAACTAAAAATGTTGAACATAATCTTTTACCCAACTTATCTCACAGACAGACAAACTCTGGTGATTATATTACCTCCTGATGGAGGTTAAACAAAAAAATCAACTTTGAATGAAAAGTTTTACTTCTGTTCCCAATTTTTTTCCATCCTGTAAATTGTGAATATCAATTCAATGTTTACTTAAGAAAGATCATTATCCCCAAGAGTAATAAGCAGGCATTTCATGTAAGCACAGCTCATTATTTCGCAGACAAATGTATGAGACATGATTGTAGAGTAGAACTGCAACAAGAGAAGTGTCATCCATCACCGCACGTGACAGAGAGGTCTATCTAATGACCATTAGCTGCTGGCTGACAGCGCTGCTGGGAGGGCTACAGCCATACAATCTACACAGCTAAAGCTTCTCTGATGACTGATTAGCTTTGAAAAGTCTATATAAATCTGCAGTCGGTGAGTCGTGAGAGAAAAAGAACTGGACACATCTCTGGAGTAACTTCAAACAAGAAACATCATTTTCCAAGTGGAACATCAGCAATGGAGTGGACAACATGGATCATCATTCTCTTTCTCACATTATAAATTGGCTTTCGCTCTGCTCTTTAAAGTGTGATATTTTCTGTCAGTTGTGATTAAGAGAACTTTTGCAACAATAAAAAATAAAGGAGTGCAGCTATGAAACAGATCACTTTTCAATGTACAGACATGCATTTGTCAGCTTGGGAAAGAAGACATGCTCAAAATGGCCATGTGATTGGATGACTGACCTTTAGGAATGGCAGACACAAAACGCTTTTTCCACCATGGTCTATTACGATCAGACTTCTCATCATCACTATCTTTTCTCTCTTCTGACTAGAAAAAGTGAGTACAAATTAACCAATGTATTAATCTGTGAAACTAGCTTGATTTATGCAGAATTTTAAATACCTCTCCTTTAAGAGAATCCTTGCTGGGTGATGAGGACGGTCCCGAGGTGAAGACCCCCGATTCCCGCTCCTCCAGAGCCACACGCCGGTTGAGACCAGGGTCACTGGTGGGACGGCGGCCAGGGCACACAATATCTGAGCTGCGACTGCGGACCAGTCGGTCTGGGAACGAATGTCTCTGCTCCACCTGGGCCAGGCAGTGGGGAATGAACATGGAGTGGCGAGCCTCATGTCCCAGGGCACTGGCTTCAGGAATGGGGGGGTCAGGAGGGGGGTGGGCAGGCCTGGCATAGTGCACTTTGGGTCTTACAATTGTTCCAGTTGACGATCCTGTAAGAGGTAAAGAGCATTTATAAACCATGGGATAATGGTTCCCTGGTGATGTAGCCAGTATTTCGAAGTGTATAAAAGTCTTTAACCAAACAACAGAAAAAGGAAAGCGCCAAAGAGAGATGTTAGTGAGACAAGTCCTATGTAGGTAGACCACCTGTTCCAAGGGTAGACATTCTGCTGAAAGGGTTCCAATGGCAGCCTGGTGCCATAAGCACAGTGGGACAAGGGGACAGTGCCAAAGAGCCTGGGGTAAGGGCTCTCAACCTGTCAGCCCTTCACCTTGCCACAGACACCATCATTTCTTTCTCATTTCCACCAGATCTCAAACTAAATTTGCACAGAGCAACAGCAATATAATATTTATTTAAGAAACCAAGTCATTTATTAAGAAACCAAGTAATTTTCAACCAGTTTATTATACAATGCTATGGCAGGACCCCAATTGAGACAATTAGAGCTCAAAATGAGGAGTTAATGAAAATGATTGTGCAAATGTTACCTTCACCAGTAGAGAGAGGATCAAACATGGCCAGTAGCGAGTCTGCTTGTGATGGTGGCGTTGTTAGGTGGTGTGCACCTAAAAAGGTAGGAGATTATGTATTACTCAATTATAGTAGAAGAGAGAGTATTGAAAAAGGTGGAGATCAAATGTACAAAAATGTCTGGAGTTAGTTTACACATGTGACACAATCCTGTTATCTAGCCAATTCATTGGCACTTTTCTGCCCTGTTATCATATATCAACACCCATGTCTAGTAACAATACTACAGGACTCAGAAGAGAGATTAAGACACTGGGACAAACTAGGTGTTAAGGTTTAGATTAACTCCACTGTTTTTAATGTGGAGCAACAAGGGTTAACACAAGACAACAGAAGCGTTCAACTTAGTTCTTAATTGTTGTTTTCACCTTAACACTAAACAGGTGATTAAACTTTGTGGCAGCTGTTGAGTAGACACAAGGATTGATGAGTTTGACTGATGTGGGTTTAACCACATACACACTGTACATATAGAGTGGCTTTCCTGGTGGGAATGTGACTCTGTCCTACCGTGGCCAGTCTCGTCCCCATCTGGACTCGTCACTGAGTCCTTCCCTCCAAAATCGGAGCTGCACTCTGACCGCAGGTCCTCGATCTTGTTGGGGATGTCTTCTGATGTCGCACTGATACCTGGAGCACAGACAAAAAAAGCTTTGACATTCATACCAAAAACAACTCAATATCACCTTTACAAAACATATCTAGGTAAGGGGAACTGTTCATACAAAAGGGGATATTTCTCTCTTTAGACTATGGAGTAGACTGGCTCCGTTGGAAACCAATAGGGACCACTAAATTGGTAGCGTAAGCTCCCTTGGGTTTGAAGACAGACACAGATAAGAGTGATCATCGGATGCAGACTATCCATCGGCCTAATCTCTAGGGAGGGTCCCATGTGAACAGAGCAACGGACGTCATGACTAGCTTCTTAATCTAGGATAGTACTTCATGCATGTCAACATGCATATCCACCCGAGCCCAGGGAAAACGCAGCCTACATTAACCTCTGCATCACATGGAAAAATGTGCATGACCCTTTTGCCTGGGTTAACAGGCCTGCTAGCAATATAACTGGTCAACACAAAAGCAAGGACACGGAAAAACGCAACCAAAGCACACCAAAAAAATCAAGCGCCTTAATTTGTACCTGAAACCACACTGAGGCCTGGAGTGCTGGGTCTGGAGCTGACCTCTCGGACCTCTGTGTCATCTGAAGTGCTGCCCACTCCTGAGCAGCTCTCAAGCTCCTGCAGACGTTCTTCCTGCTTCATGTCGGGCGCTTCTAAGACAAAGACAATTTTTGTTATTACTTTGTCTTTTTTTAATTTAGTTGAATTAAAATGGTGGTTCCTAAAGAACATGTGATCTACAGATGGTGGCCATCTTCACAAATTGTGTTGGTTATTGTGAATCCAAGTGTTCACATATGCACAAAATCAAACGGGGCACTACCATGCCAAACTGAACCATTAAACGAGTATGGCCAATTCTTTGGTGACCCAGCAGAGCTGTTGGGCCGAACCCAGAGGTTCCATAGTAACAGCGGTGCTCATTTTCATGCTCATTAGTAATAATGTGTTGGTGAAGTGCTCTTCAGAGTGTAGTTTTCTGCTGGCTAGCTGTGAAACAAGGGCTCTAGCAGCTCAATTCTGACTGTGTGATTACAGAGGGTAGAGTAAAACAGAACAAAAAACAGTAATTGCGTCCTTTTTCATTGTATTTACAAAAAACTTTTTTAAGTCTAAATTTCTAGTTAATTAACGTATTCTAAAAATAAAATGGGTTTATGGATACACAAAAAACAGTTATGGTAATGACGGTTCTCCAAGTTAGTTTAATATTTGAAACTGCACTATTTTGTCCACTTGGTCATGCACTATTATGTAAAAATTACATATACATACATACATATACATGACATGTTAAGAGTCTTTGAGTGTCCAGAAAATGTCTAAATACTGTATAACTGATGAATTATTGATATAGTCCCTCTTTATCCCTCTTTCTTTCAAACTCATTCTAGGCAATGTGGGGTAAGTGTCTGTCATCCAAATGTTCTCTAGCAAACTTCTGACGGTCCTGGACATGTACTGGCTTAAGCACTGACACTGCAGAATTTGAGTCCCTGGTGGAGTAGTGTGTTACTGATGGGAGCCTTTGTTACTTTGGTCCCAGCGCTCTGCAGGCTATTCACTAGGTCCCCCCGTTTGCACCCCAGATCGAGGGAGATTATCAGCAGTCTATACGTCTTCCATTTTCTGTGAAAAATGATGAAAGATGATGAAACTGCTCAAGTCAATACTTGAACAGTTTCATCATCTCACTTTATGTGTAATATATAAGACTACAGTTAAATTATATGTTTAACGTCTGTATTCAGTGCCTATGCAGTAACCGATGACTGATGAGAATCTGGTGCTCCACCACAGGGGCTGACACAACTGGTGGTCTGCTGAAGAAAACCCTGAGCTGCTTTCAAACACACTAGTGAAAAGACACAGTGTAACATCTACTCAGGTGTGTCTTGTTTTGCATATCACACAGTCTGATGCCACCACCTTCAAAAATATATATTATATAAATGTAATATGTTGGGAGCCTATAAGCTTGACTTCTTCCCACTCCTTTTGGAGCTTTAACAGGAGCGAAAAAAGTATATGTATGTACGTATGTACATTTCTATCATGTATTGTATGTAATTGCTGTTAAATCTATAATTAAGTAAGCTTTATTAAATCTATAATTGATTCATGTTTAAAAGCTTGAAATAAAATACAATCAATCAATCAATAAAACATGTTCAGCATCCTTAGACCACGCTTCTCTGGTGGTTCAGAAGGAGTCGTGCCCTCTCAGTGTATGCTTGCAGGCTCTGGAACAGCCTCTTTCCAGAACTGTGGTGCTGACCAGTTTAGGCAAGCTATTGACACATAGTACAAGTTCTATGTCTACACTGAAGCAGTAAAACACTTCTCTGTGAATCACTTTGTGCACCTTTTTAGAAAGAGCTAAGGCACTGGTTTTAACTGATTGTGAGAGTTTAGATTTTCCTCAAAAGTGAGACACTGGAGCTTCAGACTGAGCACTGACATTTACTCTGAATGATTGTTGACGTCACAGATACAAATAAACGAAACAAATAGCTTCAAACCTACCAGAGTCACTGGGCAGCACCTCCACGCTCCATGCCTCACTGGTAGTTTCTGATATCGTGGATCCATAGGGGTCCAGCAAAACTGAACCAGAGCCAGGTAGACACAGCAGGCTGCCGAGCATGTTCTCTGCAGCTGCCCCTGAAACAAACAGAAGGGCAGATACAAAGAGTAAAGAACCATCCACAGCAGTATTGCTTTTTAAATTAAGAAGGAGCAGAAGGTAGTTTAGCCTCAAAGTCATCCTAAAAGACACAGCTCAGGTCGGTGCATAGGTTGTTAAGGCATAAGGTTGATTTATTTTCTTTAATTAGTCTATATAAATAATTCAGGCTTTTTTAAATGAGCGATGTGGAAACAGCAGTGCATGGACATACCTCTGAAGACACACACCGGTAAATTACAAAGTGCAATGTGAATGCACTTTGCAGGTACTTACTTAAAACTAGCCCTGACAACCTTGCTTTGGAGACTCATTTGTGAAGGACCTGAAATCAGCAAAATAACTAAAGCGGCTATGTTGATGGTCGCTTTTTAAAATAATATATTTAAATCACTGAGTGAAAGACAGCGAGAACTGGAGGTCACATAGATTTCCCTGCAGGGCCCTACAGGCACAGATACCACAGGGCAAAAGTTCAAAAGTTAATGGTAATATCTCACCCTGGCTTGGCCTCCAGAGCCATGACTTTGAGCTGTTGATTAAACCCAGCATTACTCACAACCAAATTACCACTTAGCTCGCCCTCCCACAACGTCCACCGCACTGTGTCACTCCATTTGGAAGAGCCAGGGCTTAACAAGGCAGAAGAATGTGCCGTAGCGGGAGTTGAGCAAGCAGGTGTGAGTGGGTGAGGGCTCAAGACCAAGTCCTCTCACCCCCTGGTACGTCATGCTTCCACTCCATAGCACAAAGCCGCGGTGAATGGATGAGCATGCCAGTACCCAGGCAACTGTGTGTGGCATCGTTGGCGGAGGAGAGGCTATGGGCGGCAGTGGGAGAGCTCTACCCCGCTGTCCGTGTTTACAGTGTTCAAGGTAGGGGCGCAGAGTACATGTCTTTCAGGTAGATGATTAAATGAGTGGCACAACAAGAAGTGAAACAATTAGAATTTCTGCCTCATTATCATGGTAATCTTATCAGTGGGATAATGAGGTATTAATGGATATTTAATGTGCATCTCATAACCCAATCCCTCCGAGAAAACACATAAGGAAATCGCTGTAAATTCACTTAATGATGGAAAAGTCCCCCAACGCCATATTCCGAAGAATGAAAAATGGTGGATGCAAATGAGAAGGAACCAAGGTCAATAAGACAGCAGGGACTGAGTGAATGTCAGAGAGAACCAGAGAGTAGAGAGAGAGAGTGAGATCAACACAGGCCTGAAGAAAGTAGACATGTACATCCGAAACAATACAAAGACATGTCTATTATCAGCCTCAATATACAAATGTATATTGTAGCCAATGGAGCAGTCTAATTGCTGTGTTTCCATGCTCAAGCATTATAAGAAAACACGAACCAGACAGATAAATATTGAGATGAAATATGTATATAGAAAGCTGTTATTTGTCATTTTGATGATTATGACTTACAGATAATAAAAACCTAAGATATCGAGTCTCTAAATATTTGAATATCACATAAAACTTATGCACAAACGACTTCTGAAAAGTATGTTAATTTCTATGCACCAATTACTGCCTCAATGACTGATTTTCATATTTCTGATGAGGATTATTACCTGAAGCTTCATGTTATTGCTGATTCTTTTACATGCTATTGGTCCTTTAAAAGATTCAGCATCTGGTGCTATTCACCTTTGGTCCACAAGGTGATGGCATTTCTCTTGATAAAAAAAAAAGCATGCTGGCTATATAAATCTTGAGTCTTTCTTTCTCACCTGCCATTTCCTGTAGTCGGTCTTCGTCCATATTGGGATCAAAGTCACTGCCAAGTACATCGGTGCTCCAGGTTTCACTCACAGTCTCAGAGATGTCCCGGTCCTCAGTCAGGCCCATCATGTCTCGGATTTCAAATTTTCTCAATTTGTCGTCCAAGTTGTCCTGAGTGGTAGCTGTAAAAAAATACAACTCAATGGTTTAACAATTAAAACTAAAAGTAATGATAATGCACCTCTAAAAGATAACCCTAACCTCACCTTGTTCATGCTCCAAGAGCTGTAAAGCTTCCACCCCATTGCTTCCTGACGGACCGGCCCCGAGCTCAGACACGGACTCTCCCTCCAAGTCCAGAGAGGACACAGAGTTTGAGCGATTGGAGGGACCTGGACGAAACATGTTAACAGTTTCACAGTGTATATCTGAGGTCTTTCAAGCAACATGCAAACCTACCAAACTCATAATTTGAAAAACAGTTAGGATTAGTGAATAACAGACTGACCTTCTGAGATGCCTTCTAAGTTGTCACTACAAAGAGAGAACCTCAGGGTTTTGTCTGGTTTTCCATGAAGTTTTGATTCATCAGTCGGTCCATCTCCCTGAGTCCCATCACTCATCTGCAAGTTCAAAACCTAAAAAGAAACAACACGTATATGAAGTGCATATTAATGCATTGGAAACACAGTACAAGTGTATCTGATAAGATAAGATGAGATTTTATTGACAAGATAATATAAGGCTTTATTGATCATCTCACAATAAATTTACATGACACATCTGGCATGGATAGAATGACTCAAGATTGTACATTTCTTTCTTTGCACAAACATGTAAATGCAGGATATATTATATACAATAAAAACCAATTAAAAAGTGGCAATCAAAGAAACTGTGGCTATTTAGCTCTACCAAGAGGAGCAGCTACATTCCTTATAATTACCTCTAAACAATTTGTTCAATGTCTAATTTCAAAGATTTACCAATGATTTTGTGAAAATCCACCTAACATTTTTGTATCTCGCTAAATGAACGGGCACAATCGCTCTAGGCAGAAATAATCCCTGACATTACTAGTGTGAAAGATCATTAAGCATTTTATGAGGTTCAAATGAGGATTTCCTCATGGCATGGTGCACCTTCAGCATTCATATATTGACAGGCATAAACTTAATTTAACCCCATTGCTGGCCCTTGCTGTAGTTTGCACATAAAGTCAAGTCATTATACCTCATTTTCCGACATCATCCCAGGGACGTTCTGGGGGCCTGCTCCTATTGAAATCACCAGCACCTCCTCTGGAGCCAGCTCTTGGATGGACTCTTGGGAGCTAGCCTCTGCTTCCCCCTCCTGGGCAATGTTGGTACGACTTCGGCTACGGGCGGCTGCTGGTTTAGGCAATTAGTCAAATCAACAAAGGGTGAGTTACTAGCTTATACTTATGCAAACAAGCTGTGTGAAAACTAATTCAACAAGAGGCAATGTTAGTGGTCACATGTTTTTGAGAAAGCAAAAGTAAGCATGGTTATGGATGAGCATAGTAATTGTCTTTATTTTTTTTACATTTATTTTTCTTGTTAGGCGCTAGATTTTTTTTTGAACAATATGAAAAACAGCCATCTAAAAATTTGATGTTCAGTAAACAGAACATCAAACAGTGTGATAATGAGATATGCATGGTGTGTACTGTACAACTTTATAAATACTGTAAGGATAAAATGGGCTGGTAAAAATAAACGGTTTCTTAGCCACTCTACCTGGTAATGAACAGCCAAACTCCACTGGATAGAAAAGCAAAAATTATAGACATTCATATAACGAAGTAGTGTGCAGTGCATTAACAAAAGCAGTTCTAATGATGTCCAAAGCATAAAGATATAGCTTCTATATCTAGCAAACAAAAGCAGTGCTAAGAAGTGCGTAAGTGGAGCCGGGGTTAGAAGTGTACAGGGTTGAGCTCAGACTAGTGCTGCATGAGTTTGATCAAACACAAAACTGAGTGAAGCAACAGATGAGGCCACATCGAGCTTTGATACAACCAACAGCAGACTACCCACCAAAAGGGGTTACTAAAGGAATGTGAGCGGAAAGAGAAGTGGACGTTGGGTCCCAGGATGTTATAGCAGCTAAGTGTTGTCCTGGTCATTCATTGGCAGCAAGGGAAGAAAGGATAAGTTGGGGATGGAGAGGGGAAAAAATAGAAATTACACCCAAGATCTTGAAGAACCATTTTTAAGCAGCATGTCGACATTTGTTTGTAAAATGCATATGTCAAGGATGCCAGAACAAGTGGTTTGTTTCTAATTAAAAGGGAGTCGCCATGCCATCATTTGTCTTTAAAATGCTAATGAAAGACGCCTATGCATCTTTCCATCTATTCCAATTAAAATGAGTTCATTTATATTTGGTAATTTAATTGGTTGTCATTTCTATAATTGAGCCTCGATACAGGCCATGCTAATTATCTTCATAACAAGCCTAGAAGAAGCTAATTAGCTTTTCCATAAAACACAAAGCTTTCACAACACTCAACTTGTTTATGTTATTCTTCATTATTTCAAAACAATGGCATTTTTTATTTCACATCATATTCTTGAGTGTCTGACTGCTAAGATGGCAAAGAAGGGCTGCTTGCATGGGTACCTATGGGAAGCCGGTTCTTCTTATTGGCGGGAGTAGTGGCTGGTGATAGCTGCGGGGTATTGGAGGGAGTCAGCTCCAGACTGTTGCTCTTTACGGCTCTGGACTGAGGCACATTGGCGAGCAGGGTCTCCAACGCCATGTGTTCCTCCTCTCGGAGATGGTCCCCTGCCGTTACACTTCGCACAAAATCCACCTGCAGACATAAGAGATTCAGACCTAAATCAGAAGATAATATCCCATATATTTAAAAAATATATATATTTTCAATATAAAATATACATTAAAAAAAAGTCTATAATGTCTGCAGCTCACAGTAACAAGCAAAATTCCCAAAAATAATATTGGTGAAAAATGAAAGCCTCAATTTCCCTCAAAGTGTTCATACAATTCCTACTTAAAGCTCCGGTCCTTAATATTAGTTTGTCCCAACAGAAAGAGCCGTGTGAAACTAACTGCTGTGATTTATTCTTTTTGGGGTTTGATGTGCATGCGCCATTTGATTCGAAAAGGTTAAATTTAGTCTGGAGTTTAAAAAAAATTTGTGGTCGTTTTGAAATATGTACTACCCTGTTAACATGCTGCTACAGAGCTTTCAGCCATTTTCAGAACTGTCACCTGCTTTGGAGATGTATAATTTATAATCTGATGCTACTTCCTGAGTAGGTGTGGTTAGGCTGATTGACCCGACAGGTCGTTCAGACCATAGACTGTAGACTGACCTCTCGCCCCGGTGGTCTCTGGAGGTTAAATTGGTCAAACTGCAGTAATGTCTGTGCACACGCAGGTGCATATGGGTGTTTGCATATGTGCACAAACCCATCTTTTTGTTATAGTTTAAAAGGTGACTTATTTTAAATAAGATACAAGTTATCACGTGGGTACATACCAGAGCCAGTAGCTGATTATGTGTGATGTAAACTGCTGTCCGACTGAGGCCTTCCAGCAAGTTCATTGAAGACATTGGCGGAGTCTCAACTGCTCTTCCTCCAATCACAACATCCAAAAATGCTGCCACACAACTCTGTACGAATCCAAACATGTAAGTAACAATTAGTAATAATATCAAGATGCAAATTGGTCAAAGGGGGTAAAAACGCACTTTATCAAATTTGGATAAACTATTTTTCCGTCTAGGATCTGCATCATCGCCTGCCATTGCCAATTGTTGTAGGAGTTGTCCCACCTGGGTAAGAGGAAGAGAAACTCATCACTCATCAGTCAAGTACAAGTCAGTCAGTGTATAAAAACACACACCTGCATTAGATTAAAGCGGGCAACTTCATTGATGGGGGCGTCTGAAATAATTCCGTACTGCTCAGGGTTGACGATTGCGGGACAAATGAAGCATGTCAGTAGTAGGTCTGTGCACATGGTCCGAACCTCTCCCACTTCCAAACGCTCCACACACGACAGAGTTTTGTACATCTGAGATACTATCCAACGAAGACTATGAGGAAAGCAGTACGTGTTTTGCTTTAAATAACCAATAAATTTGTTGACTAGTGCTACAAGTTTGGATTCATTGGCCTCTACAGCAGCCTGCACCCTTTGCTTGTAGTCCTCAGAGCCTTTCTCCCCAAAGCGCTCCTGTTGAGCTGGCGTCAGACGCTCTGTGACTTTAGCCGGGTCAGTTTCCAAATGATCTTCATCCTCCACAAGCAGCTGCATGATGGGCTCATGAAGAGTCGCTGTGAGGAAGAGCTTGGCTGAGTAGAGACCCTCAGAGAATAACTTGAACAGAATACTGAAGGCACATGTTCCTCTGCGCAAGAGACGCCGAGGATTTTCATTCTCCTTCAGCTCAAACTCAATCAGATATCTCAACACCTAACCAAGAAAATCGGTTAGCTTATGAATACTTTCTCACAACAACAGTCTATAGTCACAAAAACAAAAGACTATACCTGAAGCAAGTAGCTCTCATCTTCTTGCATGATGCAATTTCCGTACAGTGAAGTAAAAACAGTATGAATAACACCCTGGGTGTGCTCTTGGTTCAACCTCTCACCCGCTACTAAGCAGGAGGCCACAAGTCTGGGGTTCTCTCGGAGTCGGGCCAAGAAATCCCCATAGATTGTCTCTTGGAAACCGAGAATCTTGTAGCCGTCCACAAACTGTGTGTCCTCCAGCATTTTGGCATGTTGGCAGCACTCAGCCGGGGAGGCCTCCGCACTATGGCCAAGAGTTTTAGCACAAATTACAAACAGACCATTAATAATGTACCACTTTATATATTATTTAGTTGCAATTACATTTTTAACAATGTGAATAGCTTTAAACTGCCTGTCGTACCTGGTGAGAATGAGGCGGTCGAGGTTGATCCTCTGTTGTTTGGAGATCCAGGCGGCCCGGTACAGCCTCTCTGCAGTTTTCAACACATCACTGTTGAGTCTCTGGATGAGCTGCTTCTCTGAGGCCACATAAAGTCGCTCCTGCTTCAGGTGATGGGCCAGAGTGTGGATGTCTGGCTTCACCATCTTTACCAGCTCACACGGGGAGGGGGCCTACGGACTGATACAGCATGATCTCAAACTTCTTTAAAGCCAACATATAGCAGACAATTTTTGTGAGTTATAATCAAACATGACAAAACTTTAATATAAATGCACTTTAATCTGCACTCAAAGTTGTGTTTTTAATGTTTTAATCTATTTCAGCGAGCTTGCATGCAAGATTCCTGTTAAAACCATAAAAAGAACCATTAAACAACCAACGAAATAAGGAAGTAAATGTCTAGTATCTTGCCTCAACTTCTTATAAAACTGATTCATTTATGTGACAGTTTTGCAGCATGTATGCGTCAGACACTGGCCCATCGACAGAGAAAGCTTTGGAAATTCTCCAGAGTAGTGCAAATTATTCACTTGCATAACATACCCAGCCACTCGAGACATTTACAATCAGCTCAGGGCATGAAATTTCAATGATTTGTGGCAAATCTGTTGAACAAAGTGCCTTTGTGGCAGTATGCAAACATAGCAAACACAGAATTATCTATGGCATAAAACAAGACCCAGGGGCAGAAGAAGCAGATAAGTGCCATTGTCCCCAAATTATCAGACACCTCCTCAGCCCAGATGAGTGTGTAAAAAAAAAAAATATTTAGATTTTTTGAATCCATTTGTTGTTTGTGAAGATGTGATAATGAAATATAAAAGGGACTTTGAGATTAATCCACTAGACAAGATGATATGTATGCTCACTCCCAGTAGTAGTAAATGGTATTGTCAAATCTCCATAACATTATTACTGCAACCAATTATACAGATCATTGGAAACAGACAATATCTTTGTAATTTAACTTATGTTGTCAGCCAAGCCTCGTAAGACCCACTTCCACATGTTCTCAAATATACACATTCCACAGGTGCTTGAATGGAAGTGAAACGGAAACAAGGCCATAAGATGTCAAGTGAGGAGGAGAGAGGCTGTTAGTCACGCCAGTGGTCGGTGTCGACTAAATTTCACCACACTAAGTCACCAGGTGAGTCATTTGTGAACCGGACAGAGGAAGTCTAAAGCAGAAGAGAAAGACAAGGAGATATACCATAGCAGACATCACAAGTGAAAATATCAATGCTGTAAACATTTATTTAATGAGTCATTACTGATCAATGGGCAAAATAGCGCTGCCAATTAAACTTCAAATATGTATTTAAACAGGGATTTCTTAAATCAAGTTTTTGATTATCCACTTACCCTTTTGTGATGTAATATTGCCAAATCAGGACCCGTAAAATGCCTTTGTTGAGATTTTAAGTAGTGGACAATGTTACAAACTATATTCTATGTTCATATTCAAAGCAACTACTGCAATTATTATTATTAAAATATATATATATATATAAAAATATTATTATTATATTAATAATTATTATTACTATTTATTTATGACAATATGGCTCCACAGCAAAGTAACAATAATAATTGATAGTTGAAAAGTTTAAGGTCAGATTTAACTACTGAGCATTTGTGTGTGAAAACATACAGCACTGAATAGTGCTCCTCCAGTATTGGCCAATTTCTAATTGGAATTAGAAATCAAATGAACAAATGATATTGGAAAAGGCCAGCAGCTTCCAGGTAACAACCATGTGGAATGTAAAGAGCAGATGAAACATACAACAAAGACCTTACACTGTTACAAATGAGTATATAAAAATAACAACAATTATAACAAATGACCAACAAGTAAAACAATAAAAAAAGTTAATTGAACCTCCCCGACAGTGCTACAAAAAAAAAAAACAATACAGTATAAATACCATTAGTGTAGGGCTGTAAATGATTATGTGATCAATATATAGATCCATATACATCTTTAGATTGTTTCGCATCCAAATATGATCTCTAATGCTGGAGCGAATGAATAGCCGAATAGCTCAATATCTACAGGAAAATAAATTATATCAAGACAAAGACATTTACTTGGCTCTCATTTCTCATTTCATTATTACAGTTTTATTCTTACAAATCACACAAAATGTCAATTATGTTTAGAAGTTTGCATTTAGAGCACTTTATGATTATGTGATTGTTCAATTGTGTTGGAGATTATTGAATAATATTAGTTGCGATTAATCAACAGTCCTGGCTGTAACTAACAAATACATATATAATCGAGTAATCTATTATAGCATTCATCCTTTGATTAAACAATTAGTGGTTTAGAACGCAAAGATTCTAATATAAATGTGATGCAAGAAAGACTGCATCAGTGAAGCCACTAGAGGATAATCTAAAACACAAACTAAACTATTTCATCATTAAAATGAGACGTGTATGTATCTACACTGAAAATTCACCACTGTGGGACGAATAAAGGATCTCTTAATCTTAATCTACTGTTGTAATTAATGTAATTTCTGCTATGTATCAATACTGGAAACATGCCATTTTGGGGTAAAGAGGTCGCATAGCAATTATTCTACCACTGGAAATAGTTTGTGACTATTGGAAAAAAATAACAGAACAGAATCCTATTACATACATGCTGATACACAAACATTCATGTAATATTCTGTAAGATTGCTACTATTGAGACAACTTAATATATTTTAAGAATAACCTAACCAATGCAGACAACTTCCAGTGACGCAAACAAAAGGCAGCACATTAATAGTGTCCTTAAACAACCTGTAAATGGGGTCCAGGGACAGGCACAGGCTCTGGTGCGTGTGTCCTTGTTGAAAGACAAATGAGACTGGAGATGGGGCGAAAACTACAGACCCAAACAATTAAATCCTAAAATGTGTAAACGTAGCTGTTTGTAGTTTATGCTCGAGTACAAATAGAAAACCTACCATTCGCCAGTCTTTGAAATATGCCAGATAAAGGCTGTGTGGGCAAGGTAAAATGACACAAATCACATTGAGGTTAGAGATTTGGAGATGACCAACAGAGCTTGATTATATAATGCAAGAAAATATGGGCAATAAACATCACACTCTTTGCTAAGCGGGTAGGCAGAAATAAAATCGGAAAACACAGGCTAGCCTTGACGATTTGGCTAGCCATGTTAGCTTAGCATTGGCTATAAGTTATTAACGCTTATGAGAGCATCTGTAATGTAATACGGCATATTTGGGTACTTACCAAAATGTAGGTGTGTGCTATGAGGCTTCTGTGTCGTTTAAACAATACAACGACGATGAAAATGTGTAATGAGTGATCTGAAAGAAGGTGTTAGCAGGTTAGCGTCCACAGTGGATCCAGCAGAAGCGAACACCGCTGCTGTCATTTGCTGTCATCACGAGGAAAACTCCAACTTGCGCATGCGCGATGAAACTAAGCACAGATGCGCAACAATAACTTTTGTTTTTTGTTTATTTTCTGTCTGCATCTTTTACATGCATAAAAGATGCATGTACACTACACTTCACTACACTGCTACAATATAGAGCAGTCACCTACGGCACAAACCAAGTATGTCCACTAGGTGGCAGCACGACATCAACGCCGTGGAGAGCAAGGATCACCTCTGCATTTAGTGCAAAAACCTTTACCGAAACATACATCATAATAAATTAAAACATCCAAGTGTTTTTCACTCTTTTAATGCCATATTAATCATGGTAATGAACATCACAAAATATAAAGTTGAGGAAGGTCACAAAGATATTCAATAGGTAAAAGAGCAACCTTAGCTTTGTCCATATCAAATGGAGGCAGGCCTCTGGAGTTGCTGCAGCTGTCGAGTACAATATATTTAATATTTAAGTGCAATGTTTGCAGATCTAGTAATACATTGTCGTTTATGCAATAACAAAATATAATTTTGTGATAAATAAGGTTGCTCTTTTATTGCATATACTATAGTATCGCCTACAATCAGTTTCAAGGGTACGGAGATGAACTAATTTTGATATTCAATATAGATATTTGTTCATATACATCTCTTACATTTTTAAGCAAAAAAACATATATCATTAACATAATTTAATGTACGCAATGCTCGTATTAAAGAACCTGAATAAAAATAGCATGCTATGAGCAAAATAAGTGTTAATTTACAACATCAACTTAACAAATCTTAGTTGAAAGCTGTTAAGCCTTTATAAACTCACTTTTTACATTGCTTTGTGTCAATTGCGTTATTACAGAAGGCCACTTCAAAACAAAGCTGTTGAAGAACGACATCAAGTTTTTTTTTTCATTTACAATATGAAAATACCATAAATATGTATTTAAGGGGACATTTTTGTTTGATTGTACTTTCAAATGTATCTCAAGTAGTATGTAAGAAGGGCACACACAGCTTGGATCACTGGTTCATTTAAATTATATAATGCTCCATTGTGTAATCAGTTTCATATTTAATTTGGAAATCCACAATACTGGAGTGGTTGTTCACTTCATTATTGTGGAGGTAATAAGACACATTGTTAATAGTGTGCTTTATACATGTTTTGTACAGTATGCACATTACGCTACCATCTTAACACCTAGCACTTATGCCTGTGCTCCACATGCAGGCTTAAATCATCTAAGTGCAACAAGCCAAAAAACGAAAAAAAACATGTATATCGAGTAAGTGCAGGTTTGCCTGTGCATGTGTGCAAACATATAATATCTAAAATACACAGAACAGTCACATGTCATAAGTTCAACTTCTCACACATCCATAATCCCTCTAACTCTGTCCCATATATTTACATAATGTGAATGTTTGACCGACATGCTTAACTAAATTATATCATCCAACAGATGAGGGGTTCCCACCCAATCCAGTGTCCTTGGCTCTGATGCTGCCATGATCATACACATAAACTGTTTCCCTGTTCTCTTATCTATGGGGTATATTGTGGTCGGTGTGAACCGTATGTTGTTCTCCACAAACTCACAAAGATGGTCATAAATTTTGGGGTACTCGTGTCGGAGGAAGACACCCCTTGTCCTGAGTTCTCGCTGGATATTGACAAAACAAACCTCTCGCGCTTTCCTTCCTTCCTCCCCTTCCTGATCTATGTCTGGTGTCCCAGGTGGGGGGGTTAAGATGAGAGTTTCCATCTCATTATCAAGCTTGGGCACTTTCTTATCTGGACTAGATGATGCCAGAGAGACCTTTGCATATTTACGTACTGTGGGAGCTTGGATCCTAGGAGAGGGTCGGTTAGGCACCAGTTCCCCAACAGCGATAGATACATTCAGGAGGAAACATTCATTTGGATCATACTCATTTCCTGCCTGTTGTAGTTCTTTGCAATATTCACCCAGATTGTCTTTGAAGCCATCTAGCTCTCTGAGAGATAAGTATGTTGGAGACATAAGAAGGCTCTCCAGGCCCACATGCAGGAAGTTGTTAGCTGTGTCAGGATTGGCAAAACCGAGGAAGAGCACCCCTCTCCCCCGTGAAAGGTATCCTGCTTTAGCAACACGCGAAAAAGCTTTATGGATGTCTGTGTTCTCCCTGCAGAATTTAAGTGTATGCCGGCACACACTACTGACTCGACCATATAAACAGGTCTCCTTGTGAGAGTCCCAGTCATCCCTGCGGCACGTTCGTGAGCAGTAAAATGTATAGCAACTGTGGCATGATTTAAAGTACAAACATGCATTGAACATACTTTCAGCCTTTCTACACTTTTTATTAGCGCACACAAGGTTGTCATCCTCATCTGTGCTATGGTCTGGTGAACACTCCTCTGCACTCCTTTGAAACGCATCACATCCACTGTCAGCTTCCTTATTTGTGTCTGGGCTGGATTTACTGGATGTAAGCTGAATCTCAGAATTCTGAAGGTTTTCCATCCCAGGTGTGCAACTGTCCTTATCATCGACGTTTATGAGATGCTTTAGTTGATCCAAGAAGTCATCACTCGACCTCCTGCTTGTAGGTGGTTTGTAGTCTACAACCAGATCAGCTAACAGCTTGTCTAGCTGCTCCAGACTTTGTTGTAAAGAGAAGTTGTTATGTTTCCTATCTTTGGTCAAATCTGTTGAGAGGGATTCTTGCTTTTGAACCATCACCTTCGGAGCTGATCTCTTTTCACTGTCTGCTATATCCCAGCTGACAGAATGCACATCACGCCTCTTGTTATTTCCTGCACATAAGTCATTGTCTGTGATTGTAATCTCAGGTGTTACAAACCACTGGCCACCCTTTGTGTTCTTCCAAGGGTTACTTGAACCCTTGTTTAAAGAGTTTTCAGAGAGAGAAAGTGCTGCGTAGCGCCTTGGTGAGCTTGAAAGATTCAAAATAACAGGCTGAGATGGAAAATCAGTGGACACGCCATGTTGAGATTGGTGAAACAGATTCTCATAGCTGCGACCGCGTGGCACTGACTGACTTCTGTCCAGATGGGGATACAAAATATTGTCAAAAGACTTTGAATGATTTTTAGCTTCTTCCCCAAGTCGAGTGATGTCCACACCTCCATACCATGGTGTCCCTGTCTCTCTTAACTTGGGATGAGTGTGCTGGAAGGATTGACTGGAGTAGCCAGATATACTTGAACGATACCAGTCATTAGAAAGACTTTCAGGCATTTGTGACCTGCGACGGCTTTCTGTGTGATAAGGTCTTGCTGTGGGTATGTATGTTTCTGTGGAGGAGACATATGGCTTTGAATGGAAAAGCTGTGAACTATTTGGATGGTACGTGTTATAGTGGCTATTCCCTCCAAAATAAGGTCTAGAAAGTGGCACATGGGATATGTAAGACCCAGCCTCACTTGTAGAGTACGGCCTATTTTGAACACTATGCAAAGGATCCCGATCTGTGTAATATGAACGTGGAGGAAGCGTGTGCACCCATCTAGTCCTTGGATCGTAGTGACTTGTTAAAGTACTGGCATGGCTGGTAATACTCGAACGATCATCATGAAAGTACGGTCTGGAGAATGAATGGATTGGATATCTGACTGGGTCTTCTGTATAGAAGAACTTGGTGGGTATATTTGGATTTGAGTAAGCTCTTTGTTCTGGAGTTAGGTATGGCGGCGTTGGTGAAGGCATTCTGTGCAAATCTAAATGCTGGTATGAGATAGGAGACATGCTGGTGGTATAATGGTATCCTTGTCTGAAATCTCCACTGTAGCATTCACTGGGAGTGGGAGTCGGTGAGGAGCCAATCTGTCTTGGTGGTGGTTGTACATACAAACCACGGCTGCTCCCGGCCTGTGAATTTCTCTGCCACTGATTATCATTCCATACATTGTGCCTTGTGGTTTGCTGAAGAACCGCTGCATCTGGTTTAATATCCACACGGCATCTAACGTGAGGAGTTGCAGCTGGCTTGTCTGGTTTGTCTTCTTCAAAACAGTCTGAGACATAGAGAGGAGTTTGGGGTTGAAGTTTAATAGGATGTACCTCATTTAAAAAAGCCCTTGTTGATGAGTAGGTTTCCCTTTGAGAGTCTGCCTGAGGTGTGTCCCTGCCTTTTCGTGTGCTTGGAGGAGACACTGAAATTGGCACCGGAGTGAGCGTGGCCTTAATTCGCGGTGTACTTTTAGATCTCACTCTCTTTTTAGAATCAGACCATGTTAGATGGCTGGTTTTGTCTTGCTGCTGATAATGCCTGGTGTTAAACAGATCTGGAGATGAAAAGCGAAGATGTCCCGGTTGATCTAATCCATTCCACATTACGTTTTTGTTGAAAGCCAAATGCTCAGATCTCTTGTAAGGATACTCCACTGAGGAGGAGACAGCTTGTGGATCGTCCAGCGACTCGATGTAGTCAAAACTACGACAGTGTCTTTTGTTAATGATTTCTGGCTTGTCAATCATTTTCAGGTCACATTGCTGAGTGGCCTGGAGAATGGGGTGATCAGAGATGGGATTAAAATTGATGTCCCGATAAAGAGTTGATGCCAGAATATCAGGAGGATGGGTCCGGGTCATTTTAAGGGACATTCAGCACCCTTCAGCCGGATTCGTGATCAACACCAACCTGAAAAAGATCCAGATACACTATTACACTTCAGTGAATATATACTGCAGACAGTAGATCAATTAAATGAAAGTAGATCAAACTACTTAAAGACACAGTATGTAGTTTTATCTCTTTCAGGTTTTGTAACTGTACTACAGCATGGACCTTTGTTGTCTGTGTCTTGCCCTGCAAGTACACATTTTGCTACAACTAAGGTTTAGGAAGAGACCAAAGAAACTGGCAATCCAAATGAGACGCTTATGTAATGCATGTGAGCTTTTTGAATACTCAGCTGGAGAACATTTTAACAAAAATGTGTCCATCATGGCCACTTGGATGCGAAAAGGCCAAATATGAATTGTGTATATTGAACCGTATATGTCCAGGAAATCAATTTAAAGACTGTATTTTTTTATTTTAAAATACATATCCATCTTTTATGTGTGTTCTCAGAACAATGTCAACATGTACACATCATGTTTACTCCAGAGCAAAATTACATATTTAGAACTTTAAAATGAAAAGTTTAGAATTGTAATGGACAACAGAAGTTTTCCTTTTTAGAAAAGAATACAAATGATGACCTCTCTCAATAATAAGGTAAATATAACTGTTCTGAAACAAGTGCAAAATGAAATGACATGTGATTTCATATGCCCCAGTTTGTACTATATTTGTATGTGGCATGTAACATTATGTAACAGTGTTGGTTTGAACCAATGTGTTGGTTTCAGACGAGTAAGACGAGTTATGAGTGATCCAAAATGTATTTAGATTATAATACTGACCAGGAGAGACCCAAAGGAGTATAAACGGGAGATAAGTAACATTTCACCTGTATTTAAATATTTTGGTTGTGGTGAAACTTGTCAAAAAGGTTTTTAGTTTTATACCACCTAATATTCTATCAAACCACTAATTTGTTGTGTGTACTGTGATTTAAGCTGAAACACATTTAAACAGGGGGTACAACGTTTGGAATGGATTTCCTCTGTGCTTTTCTTGTTGGCACTTACCTTTGACTAACCCTGAGTGACCATCTGCTCATGTGGATGGGAGAGTACTGACCAGCCGTCTCACTGTCAGGTCTGATCACTACAGCATCATGCTTCTACACAAGGCTCATCACTGCCCTGGTTCAGAAATACTACAATAATCATAAATCACTAGGATTGCAATATATCTAAATTGAATATTAATTGGGGCAACAAGCAAAATGCCAAGTTCCTCTCCAAATGGGAGAAGCTGGCAACCAGGGCAAGTGCCTGTATTATAGAATCACAGAATAATATTTCAAGGCATAACAGAAATTACACATGATAGATATAAGCAGGTGACAAACACTGCACCAACGTCATAGTGCATTCATTCCTGAGTATAATTGTCATTAATTTTATCACGTCCTGCATTGATTGGCATGATGTTAGAATCATTATCGAAACAAAAAATGAGTAGGCCTATGGCATTGTGTAATTCCTCAACAGCTCCAGGGCCCACACTTTTCGCAAAACCATTAACCACATGCCACATACAGTCTCCATGGCTACAGCACACAGACAAGAAGGCACGAAGCAGTTGGAGTTGCAGGGGGCAAAATCTGTGCTTGGAAAAACACACAGAAAGTAAATCTCCAAATGTACGCACACCGCTAACTTTATTACGCGTGTCTCTGCTATACATGCATTATGACGTATTACAGGGGTGTTATTAAGCCAATTATAAAAAAAACTGATTCTTTAGTAGTCGGTGAACTCTGAGGTTTGAAACAGGGTACCATATATATTTTGGTGCTGCAACGCGGCCATCTCCCCGTGATGTGACTGACCTGCTGCCTTTGAGGCAGGAATTACATCATGTTCCGAGGCGTAAAAAGGCAAAACAGAGGTTAAAACCAGGTCAGAACACAGTGAAACGGAGTACGAGTTCCCCAAAGTTTTCAGGTTTGCAGATTTGAGGGCCTTACCGTACTGCCAGAGAGTTGATCGGACGCGGTGTTATGGCAAAAGCACCATCCGCAGCTCCTGCTGGACGAACGCAGAGGCGCATCCTGCGATGCACCTGCTCCGGGGGAGAATGCCCCTCATTGCGTTTTACATTTTGTTCTCGTTTCAAGATGCGGCTATAGTATAAAGTATGCTGCCGTGATAAGAAGGAGATGCGCAGAAGAGGGAGGTGTGTCTTGGGTCTGCGCCTCATCAGCGTCTCCGGAGGCGTGGTCGTGCGTGTTTATGTGCGGCACCACGGGGAGGGGGCACCGAGGCTGGATGGAATCAGCAATGCAGTCTCTCCGTCCATCTCCCACTCAAGAGCCTCGGACACAGAAACAGTTTATGTGTTTTGCTCTGCAACAGTTGAAATGTTCCACGTTAACAAAAGATACAATGGAAACAATCTGATGAATTCGAGAATCCAACAATGGACCAACTTCCATCATACGTGCTGGCTATCTGCAGAAAAATAAAGCTGAACTATAATTAAATCAAATCAATTAAATTCATTGATTTAAAAAAGTTTAGAATTTATATATTATATATATATATATATATATATATATATATATATATATATATATATATATATATATATATATATATATATATATATATATATATATATATATATATATATATATATATATATATATATATGAGACATGCCCAAAACAGGAGGCATCTGAAACTGATGCCCAAGCCACCTCAAAAGGCTTTTCTCGACTTGGGGGAGCAGCAGCTCTACTCTGAGCTCCTATCGTTTGAGCTCCTCACCCAATCTCTTAGGGAGCGCCCAGTCTGCTCCAATTGTATGTTCAAATTAAGACAATAAAGACTCATCTAATCTAATCTAATCCACTCTGCAGAGGAAACAAATTTTCAACAGTATGTTGACGGTTTGCCAGAATCTTTTTGAGGCAGGCCAATAGTCCTGCTCCATTGACTCTACAAATTCCTTCCATTCCCAGGTTTTTGCCTCTGCAACAGCCCAGGCAGCAGTGTGCTTGACCTGCTGGTATTGGATGGCTATCTCAGGATCCAGTCTACTGATAATATGACCAAGACCATAAAAGCAGAAGTGGCTTTCTATTGCATTCCGACGCTTTAGCATAATGATCTCAAATTGAGAAAAATATTCTATTTATACATACTCATTATGGCTTATAGTACCTTGTATATTTTTCATTACAGCCAATTAAAAGAGTAATAAAAAAGTAATCTGTTTGATCTCCAAACTGAATATATATCTACAACTCAACTCCCTCCAAGGCCAAGACAATAATCACACTGTTTCTCCTGAAACCGAGATTTGACTGTGAGTTGAAGTCTCATCTTCAGTACCTTGGGAAGCTGAGGAGTGTGATTCTATGATGTGATTCTAGACCCTCTAGTGCATGTGTCACCAGTGTTCCTCCTCCACAACAAGGCCTGGCTGGTCCTCATGTCCGCTGTTGGCTTTCAGGCTGCACAAGTGTGTGATGTCAGCTGGCCACTAGCAGGTGCCTCAATCTCTGTTCAGACTAAAAGATCAATTTCTCCGTGTTGATTAAATGTCTCTCGCTGACAAGGATAAATCAGACTCAATCTACCTCAAAGATCACCTCACTAAACCCCTGATTCCTGGCCTTGGCCAATGGGCTGGCCCCCCTACCTCCCTGGGTACCAATTCACTCAGGGACTTTCTCTTTCTCTTTCTTCAAATGGTGCATATCTCTTTTTGTTCCTCCATAAGAGTCGATCTCCCAGAGGTTTCCCTGTTTCCTACAGGGTATTTTGTTTGTCCTTGTTGAATAAGATTATTTTCATGGACAATGTCTCTGTCAATTGTCGGATTTTGGAATCAACAATTCGTAAATTTGGTGACAACTGCTGTTGAGACTTCGGGTAGTACAACAATAAATTATTTGATTTGAGCAAACCAGGGTAACATTACATTTTGCACAAGCCAGACATTGATCCATAGCTGCTCAAACAGCTGTTCACACCAACTCAGTTAGGTACTATCTTTCTTCAATGTTTTTTCTCATGAGGCTGGAGCTCTGTGATTTCACTGAAAATTAATTGAACACAATTCAATTGAATACAAAACTTAACAATCTCAGTTCGTGCTTGTCTCCTCTCAGTGAACTTTCCTTTTGATGTATGTGATACAAGTGTTTCTGTTGTGGAAAGTTACATAAGGGAAGTGAAAAGGGCACAATGCCGAACTGAGGCACTCAACCAAAGACACCCATTGTTACAGATTAGCATCTCGTAGCCCCAGACATCTTAGATTGTAAGAGCATTTAACAAGGAAAGCACATTAACCACATGCATATTATCTCAAGAGAAAAGGCTGTGGATGCAATTCAATTTTCACGCACTGCTTTTACCGTTGGGTTTGATAAATAGAATTATCAAGTCTTGACTTGCACCATGTAGTTTCTTCTCTTGATTTTCCAACTATTTAAAATATGAAGGCTTTTGATGATGTATGTTCTAAATTCCAAGTGAAGGCAGATTAGTCAACCCCTCTTGACTTTCTCCTCAAAGAAAACCCATGGATTTTTGCAAGGATTTAGACAAACTTAAGGGAAGCATTTGGTTAATCAACAAGGCGCCTAAGACTGCATTGCAGCAGCTGTGATCTGCAGGAGGATCACAGCTGCAGGATCAGAACATATGAGTTTGTATAAATAATATGATCGTCATGAGGGAAAGGTGCTGTATCCTTTCCCTCATGACGATCATACTATTTATACAAACTCATATGTTCTGCATCTTATAACAGTTGTGACACTGTGTATTTTATGAACTGTTCCGGCGATGAACAGGTGATAGATTTTTACTGCTTGCTGATGTTGGCTATTGATATAAAAAAGCAGTATAGTTATGCTTGTATCATTTCCTGTAATCAGTCTTGTTCTCTTACTAATATATTTGCTCATCAGTTTACACAGTGTGCAGTCTCGTGTGCCACACATGTGCCATGTGAGTTCATGGTGCCTTCCACAAATCTTTTATGAAATATTTACCACGATTTACCAGATTTGCTACACTGAGCAACTATTACATCATTTCTGCCCAAGCCTGTTTCTGCCTAATTAGCCATTTGTGATTGTTTTGGCTGCTCAACAAAAAGCACATTCCCATCTACTCCACAAATCACAAATAAACAAAATCTCATGCAAGCTGAACCCATTTGGGAACAGTAACCATGGTAACGCATGGTGAGTAGGAGCAAAAAGGGAGACGATTATTTCAAAGGAACTGTGAAAAAAAGGGATGGGAGTCGTCCTCTGAGGCTGTTTGACCGTACGTCATGACTTGAAAGACGGCAAAAGGTACGACATTGTTCGTCACGGGATAATAATTTCCAAATGGGCCGATTCAGCAGCGTGCAACTGTATATATCACTGGAGCTGTGTTTCCAGTAGGATTGCGGAGGTGGAGGATGTCTTTTAGTGCTGCTCAGTTATTCTCCATTAAGTACAGACTGACAATTTACTGTCTTCTATATGAGGAGCTTTCTGGCAGCACAGCTATAAGAATGAAACATGAGAAAACACTGGTACTTTTAAACTTGTGAATTATGCAACATCACTATAGGTAAAGGGATACATCATCACTACCTATACAAAATGATCAAAAATGGTGCATTTGAAATAACATGAAAAGTATATATATCCTTTCACAGATCCGGGGTCACAAAGTCATTGTGTCCTTAGACAAGACACTTCACCCAAATTGTCTAGTAGTGTGGCATTGGTTGGTGGTGGCCGGGGTGGCCAGGGTAGCTAACGGCACTGATTAGTTGCCTCACTTCTATTTGCTCTAGGGCAGCTATGGCTACAGTATTAGTTTACACCATAGTGTTCGTAGGGAATCACATGTGAAGCATCATTGGGTGGCACTAAGCACTAGGATGCACAGGGTCTCTGCTTCGCAGCCACTGGCAGTCTAGTTAGAGGAGAGACCCGGCTGGGGCCCTGTCATGAAGCCACCTGTGCCATTCCTTTAGTGATAACACAAAGAATACATTACAGAAAAACATCTGAAGTTAATCAGTCTAATCAGGAAAATCTAATTCTTGTTCCGTGTAAGAATCAGCCGACCACAACCGCTGATACTGAAACTTTGAAACTTGCTATGCTAAATGTCAGATCTCTTTGTAACAAGTCTTTTTTAATCAATAATTTTATTTGTTCTTATAATCTAGATCTTATGTTCATGGCTGAAACATGGCTTGACCAAAATACAGAAAATGCAGTTTTAATAGAAGCATCACCACCAAATTTCAAATTTGAATCTGAAATACGGGGAAACAAAAAAGGAGGAGGCTTAGCTGCCATTTTCAGAGACCACTTTGTCTCCCATAGAATGTCTCTTGGGAAGTTTCCGTCTTTTGAATATGTGTCTTTTAAAATACAACAAAAACAATCTAGTCCAATACTCTTCATTGTCCTATACAAGCCACCGCAGTCATGTCACAGATTTATTGATAATTTTACGGAGTTTCTTTCAGTTTTATGCACAGATTTTGATAGCTTAGTTATTACAGGGGATTTTAATATTCATGTGGATAATGTTATTGACAGAAAGGCAAAAGAGCTGAGTTCTGTTCTTGAATCTTTTGGTCTCACTCAGCATGTGAGTGGCCCCACCCACAGCAGAGGGCACACTCTAGACCTGTTAGTTACTAAGGGGTGTGAATATTTCAAATGTAAACGTGGTCGATGTTGCGCTTTCGGATCATTTTTGTGTATTTTTTGACATGTGTTTCACTAACAAACCACCAGTGGACTCTGCAACTGTACGAAGAAGACACATAAATGAAAATACGGGTGAACTATTTATGGGAATGATAAACTTTGAGAATGCATCGTATTCTACTGTAGATGAACTGTTTAACTCTGTCACCTCTAGTGTTTTGAATGTTCTGGACACCATCGCTCCTGTGAAGGTTAAAACAGTGAAAAATAAGCAGAAGGCGCCGTGGGCTAAAGCAGACTCGGTCAGGGCACAAAAGAGAGAGTGCCGGAGGGACGAGCGGAAGTGGCGCAAGTCCAACCTCCAGGTTGACTACGAGATCTTCAAAGATAAGTTGTGCGAGTTTAACCAGGTGCTACGTAGTACGAGAGAAAGGTATTTTTCTGAAATGATTGAAGGCTGCAGCAACAATCTGCGTGTTCTGTTTTCAACAGTTAATAGATTAACAAACCCCCC